TCAACTTTCAAGAATCACACAAAATTCACTTGGCTTCATTATTCCTCAACTGTGTTTACACTGTTTTTATGGGAATATACAAGCACAACAGCTCTCCCCACTGCAACTATATTACATCCTTTCTGAGCCTGCTTCTATTATTTGTACCTAATCATGGGTCAAGGCACACCGGCCCAATGAAAGGCCAGTACCCTAAGGCTCTAAAAAGACTGTGACTTATCTACTCTATATATAGTTTAGATTTCAATGTGGCTCTAGAGTTTTGTAATCTTAGTTTTTCACAAAAATTAAGTCCTAATTGGGAGAAGTGATGGTAAGCATTCTTCCTAGAGCTCCTGGCCCTTTACATTAAATAATCTCTCAAGTCAGGAGTCATCTATAGCTGAGTCATTTTAAGATAGAAAGGAAAACAGCAATTAGGCACTCTTATCTAACATAAACCCACCCTTACACCCCTAGGGAACCTCTTTCTTCTGTAACACAACATGGAGACTCTGACCCACACATACCTATCAAAAAGAAACTGAAATTAAACAAATGAGTTATTTAATTTAAAACACATTATTGAACTAATATTTTTAAATAGTACCATTCTCTCATTCTCAGGAGACTGACATCCCTTTTATTGTCTTCAACAAGGCACTGCAGAAAAAATACGTTTGGATTAAGACAAATCTAAATTTGAATTTGAGTTTGATCACAACTTAGCTGTTTAAGATTGGCCAAATCCAACATCTTCAAGTCTCAACTTCAGCCCCAGTAAAATGGGTATAAAATACCACTTATCAAAAAAGAGGCTCGGGATGATGAAGAGATAGTAAATAAGAAACTCCAATACCTAAGTAGTTCCAATAAAAACTAGTTACATTCCCTGCAATAAATGTTGAGGTGAAAACTCTGCAGAATCCTTATTACAGAACAAACAAACAAACAAAAAAAACCAAAATAAACCCAAAAATGAACATTTCCTGAAGCCTCCTTTATACGTGCCAGACACACTGTTAAGCACTTTTTCATAGTATCTTACTTAAATCTCAAGATATCCTTTAAATATCTTCCCCTTTTCCCTGTTTTAAAAAGGTTAAATAACTAAGCAGGTCAGAGAAGTGGTGAGTCCTATTTGGAAGCCAGGTCTTTGTGACTCCAAACACTAGGTAGACTCTGTCTACAGCATGCCTTACATGGCTACTTATGAAAACACATGCAGCTCTCAGTGTTTTGTTTTCTTACTGGAAATAAAATCACTGGGAAGAAGTTACCTGAGCAATTTTATAAACATAATAAATTTCAAAGAGAACAATGATTATTAGATCTTAATCAAGCCTACTATCATAAAGTTTACTATCTAAAGGACCACAACCATTTCAACAATAGTTGTCCTTACACAGAAATTATTTACAAAATTCAGGTCATCACAGGTAAGTAAGCCATAGTATGGGCCACCCAAGCACATACACTATAATATGATCCTCAGCTCTGACCTACAACCAACACTACTGCTGCAACCATTCCAAGAGGCCCTGGTGGCACTGGGTTCAGGGATTGAGTGCCTGCTATACAAATAGCAGTACTTCACTAAACCCTTCTAAAGTCCAAGACAAATCTAATCTACCCTGTAATAAATTTCAAGATTAAAGCTCTACTTACAATTCTTATGTCATCTAAAATTTTTTCATTAATATTGTGTCAACTGCAGCTCCTCAGATTATTTCTAGTCGACCCAACTTGTGAATCACTAATAAAACTTTTAGCAGAAAACCTAAGATTTTCATTCTTCACTATTTCACAAAACAAAGCTGTAGGAGTATTTCTTATAACCCATATTAAATCATAAGTGTATTCCAATACTTAAACTCCAAGAGTTATGCCCAAAGTTTACAAAGCAAATGAATTACCAGTACAGATTTAAAGCCCTTTCTGAGGAACACCTTGAAGAATCTGATAAAAGTCTTTCTCTCCAAAAATCCAAATATGTCTGTGCATATAAAACTTGGCTCACTACCTTAAAGGACCCCATTAAAGTCCATCTATGGCTCCCCTCAATTTATAGGGAATTCATCAATGCCAGATAACAACCTCTTATTTAGAAAGTTCTTTACAGTTTTAAAACATTTTACTCCTACTTCTCAAATTGTACAGTCCCTTAAGGAATTTACATTTATCATTTTTTAAAATTTTATTTACCTACAACTATAAATCAAAAAGATTCTTCCAAATCCTTTAAATTCTCATAATACTAAAAAAACAAAAACAAGAACAAACAAAAAAAACAAGCACCTCTCATGTTCTTGGTCCACAAATATTGAGTGTTCACAAGATGTGTGGCCCTGAACCAGGGATGGCAAAGAGAATTCCAAGATACTGTCAAGGCCAGTGACCTTGAAAAGTTTACAATCTAGCAGTACAGTCTGTTCTACTCAAAAAACAAAAAAAATAAAAAATAAAAAACAAAAAAAAACAACTCCTTTCAACAATTTACTGAGTATTTTGAACAAAAACAGGTGTGGTTTTTAAGCTGAAGCCTTTAAATAGATAGGAAAAGGAATATTATGGAGGAAAAAAAAGCAGAATAGACCCAGAGAAATTAAAAAGAGGGAAAACCATAACCAAAGACTAAATTTTCTAGTAACATGTATCTAAAAATGTGTTTAATTTACCAGGTACACCTGGCTTGAACACCTATAGCCACTGCCACAAATTAAGTCAACTTCAAAATTGGGAACAAAAAACCATTCAATGAGAGGTAATAACTAAACTTAACAGAATCATTAGTACTCAACTGACAAAATATTCATAAATATTTTACTTTAAAAAAGTTATTGCAAACTATTAAAATAGTAAAAAACTTAAGCAGTTAGGGAACAACAACAAAAACAAGGCTGGTGTGCTCTTAAACTCCCATTACCAAGCCCAGAGCAGACGTCACTAATTAAATCACACCACCCTTTTTTCCCCACTAAGCCTCATTTCTTTCAAAATAAAGTTCCAGTAGCTATCAGGGTGAGCACTATAAGTGAATTTGTTGTTATTGTTATTTTTCAAATACTGTTCAAGCCAACTAAATGAAGCACCAAAAATGTATGTACGTATTTAATGTCCAACGAATTTACAATAAACTTCATCTGAGTTGTTTTCCAGAACACAAAATACTCTTTAAAACTTTAAACCTCTCTCCGTTAAGGAGAATTTATTATGGTCAATATAACCTTAATTAGGAAAAGATATTCTTTTAAAAAAATGTAACACTCCACCCCCATGGAAGAGTTCCAGATAACTGTAATTAATTAACTAAATTTTTTGGCAATCCTCATTTTTGACCCTATTTGAATTAAACCAGACAAAATTACTTTTTCTGAATATCAACAAAACTAAAACTAAACCTGCCTACATCTTTAGAAATGTAAGAATTGCAAAATGTAACAAAAAGTATAAGAGAAAGAAGCACTAATTTGTCCTTCCAGTTTAAAAAAAAAAAATACAGGTCAGTTTTAACAAAACTCTAAAGAAAATATATGTGACCATTTAAAATTTGTCACTTCCTTCCAAAAAGAATTTAAGGGAGAACACAGATGCCAGAAGATAAGGTGGAAAATAAAAACAGATCACTGGGACTCTAGGATCACATTACCAGGTGGGTGACGCTTAGCACTAAATAACAGGAAGGAATGAAAACCTGAATTCAGTAAATTTTAAGAGAGCACTGTGGGATTAGGGAAACAAAAAGTTATTTCCTAAGTGTCCAAGTCTAGCAATGAAAAATACCATACTATTCTATGAAGAAACCAGGAGATGAGCATCCTAGCCTTAATAGCAGGATTCAAGTATTACGTAAACACAGGCATGGTTAACAGATGACAACACAATGTCAGGAATATAAACACCATAAAAAGGAGCATTTCCCCACCCCACCTCTAACCTCAATTAATAGTAATACTAAAAATAGTAGCTTTGAGGAAATATCTGTTAGTGTCCATTGGTAAAAACTAAAGTGTATCTTTTTTTCCCCAAGATGTTTTATTTTCAAGTAATCTCTACACTCAACTTGGGGCTCCAACTCAACCAGGAGATCAGTAGTTGCACACTCCATACAGACTACCTGAAAACTAAAATATATTTTGGAATACTCTTTTAGTTAAGTTCCTTCAGCAGAAGCTGTTCTGTAGGCAGGACCTCAAATTATGCATATCTTATCTTGCTTGTAGAGCTCCGCATGCATACCCATGCAGACTTTTTCCATTATTTCATGTAATTTTAAGCCTAAGAAAGTTTGAAAAGGCTTGGTACTACTTTTACTCTTAGAAGGACACAAAGTATAATAAACATTCCTGCCCAGGACCTTCTTTTCCCTCCCTAAAACAAGAATGAAACATGAGCCAGTTATCAAGACTTGAGAGATTCTGAGAGTAGTTATAAACCTTTAAAAATACATTTGCATCCAATGGAGAGTGGTGCCTTTTCATTTAGACAAGCCACTCATTTGGAGGAAAACGAATTTAAAATTTGCCTAAGTTGCCAAACTACATATGAAGATAAAAAAAAAAAAGACCAAGTGTATTCCCAAAGACAAACTATTATGAGTAAATGAACAGGACCAGAAAAGTAAGGTTAAAATCTGGGCAGTTATTGCTGGAAAGAGAGGCAAGAGAGAAATGAACACACGGTGTCCATTTACCTGACGCCTTTGGCCTTAGTGGCTCTAATTTTATTTCCAGCACGGAGGAGTAAACCGAACTCTTATTATATAGAACCTATTTGATAAATGGAAGAAAAAAATCTAAAGACTTATATCAAAGTTCCTTCAGAGGGCCAATAAAGGTAAAGCACGGTTTTCCTACCACTGAAAGGAATTAAGGGGGAGAACGGTAAGGAACCCATCTTCTTCCTGTTCTCTTGTCCAGAAAAACAAGTTTCCCAAATGCGCACAGTCCAGACTGAGGTTTCAACCCCCGTCAGTGAGCAACCAAAAGCAAGGACTGCTGCAGCCCAGACTAGGTTCTTACCTCCTGGATGCGCTTCCTGGCCCGCTGAAGCACTTCTTCGTAGCCCTTCTGCCGCAGCTCGCTAAGGCTTTCGTAATACTCCTCAGGGTCGTCGGTCTCAGTGAAAAGTACCTGGGACAGGATCTTCCAGCCGCAGGTGTCCAAGCCATGGCCCAGGTAGACCTGGAGCTGGTAACATAAAGTGTCGATCTCCTGCTCGGTCATCTCTGGGGCCCCCCCAAACAGCACGGTCCACATGCCAGAGGGCTCCTCAGGGAACACGGGTAGGCACTGCTCCAGCTGCGAGTTCACAGAACACAGCTGCTGGTGCACAGCACGCAGATCCTGGAAGGAGAAGAGCCCAGCCCAGCTACACTCCTCTGCCGGAGACTCCAGCTCGGCGGTAGGCGGCGGCTGCTCCGCGTCCGAGAGCGCCAGGGCTCCCGGGGCCACCTCGTCCTCCCTCACCATTTCCAGCACCTCGATCTCCTCGGAGACCGCCCCGCAGGCGCTCACTACTCGCACCGAGGACACCGGGGCCTCCGGAGGCGCCGAAGAGGCGGCCCCCGCCACATCTCTGCCTTCCGATCC